ATGTATGTATGTATGTATGTATGTATGTATGTATTTATGTATGTATGTATGTATCTATGTATGTATGTGTGTGTGTATGTATGTATGTGTGTGTGTATGTATGTATGTGTGTGTGTATGTGCTCGTTTGTATTTATGTGTGTGTATTAGTGAAACATTGTTACCTAATTAGTGTGATTAGTAGCAATTGTAACCGAAACAGCATTGTGGAAAGCCCAAGGGCCTCATCAGCTGCCAAACGTTCTTCTTTGCGACATTCAACGAGAGGGAAATGAGCCGAGGAGGAAAGGAGAGGAATGGAGAAGAGAAAGCAAAAAGATCGGGCACGGCATAAGCTGTATCATACCCAGACTAGGATATGATGTGTCTTAAGAGGCAAACTTTGGACTCGCATGACTCCCTGCCTCCGTATCCATTATCGAGGGGAAGACGATGTGTGCCTCGTGCCGGCCACGGGGTAATTAGGCTGGGCCCAGCTGGCCGGTGCCCTGACGACAGTCCGGTCGGATCACAATCGCTTCCGACTGTACTCGCCGGACGGGCGGTAGGTGGTCTTACATTTCCCCACCTGTGACCTCGTCTGTATTTGGATCCATCGCCGTCTTCGCGTATGGACAGGATTAGTCATACCATCTTCGGCTTAACTTATCATTTTTACATTAGCTGCAGTCGTCCTCCTTCGAGTCTCGCCCTTGTGCTTTTGCTGTCCGCCTCTGTTGACCTCGAACGTGTCACAGCAGAGAGATACGCCCACAATTGCAAAAGAGGCCTGGGCTTTTGTCACAAGCCGTTGTCAAGTCACCCAAATAGACAGTTAGTAGCACTATACCTACCGGGCATGTAAGCAGACTTCAGACTTCTTGAGCCGGATGAATTCGCGACCTACAGAACTACCAGCCTGCCTCATAACTCTCATGAAGCTGGTCTCCGGGACAGCCAAAACTAAAGAATATGAGTTTTATTACATGTGCTTACGCCGATATTACTGAACGCCGGTTGTAGTAGTATTGAAGCGACATCGGAAAATTTCCTATCTTTTGCATGCGATAGCATGATATACTCGTCTCGTTGTTGAGTTGACTTTCATTTCGCGTTAAGATGTATAAGGAGGATAAAATTTTTAGGAAACCAGGTATTTAGAAGATGCAACTATAATTGTAGATTTAACACCCCGTCTTCATTTAAACATTAGTGTTTCTGCGAAAAAAAGTTGGGTTTATAGGAATCACTTGTTTCATAATTGTTAAGCTTACTTCCATTTCGAGTGAAAGTGTAGAGTGAAGAGATTTAAAGGTCGGTTCCACCATAAGACCAGCTGTCGATTGGCTTTAT